GAGTTTTAAGCATAGCGCTTTCATCTATTCCAATAGATGAAAGCGCTATGCTTAAAACTGTCAATCCAAACGCTTCCCTATTGCCATAACAGAAAGCCTATTGCATAAGTTTCACTTGTAAGCACACGATATAACTAGACAGAGGGCACTCACGGAGAGTGCATACCTCCGCCAGCATGTAACATGTATGTGTTACGAGCTGGCTCGCCGCTCGCTGCTGGCTGCTGCTGACTGACTCGCCTGCTGCTGACTCGCCGCTCGCTGGTGGCGGCTGCTGACTCGCCGCTCGCTGGTGGTTGCTGTTGACTCACTCGCCTGCTGCTGACTCGCCGCTCGCTGACTCGATGCGCTATCGATCGCGCCGCGCGGACTGGACACACACACACACACACACACACACACACGAGACCGATTACATTACCTCCCCTCCACTCCGTTACTCCGTTAACACCGTGGGCGGAGGTAATGAGTCAGAGTGAGACATTACTGTTCACTTGTTGTGAATAATTGAACATGCGCGCATCTCACGATCAACTCACCCCTGTCTGCTCATCCTTCGAGACCATGATGCCGTTCCACTCTCCGGAGATGGTCATGAATGGCTTCTTCCCGTTCTCCATCAGTTCTGCTGCGATCCGATGCTTCTTACCTCCATAAAATGGCTGAGGAAAATCAACAACTATTAACTCCCACGCCATATGCATGTTATTGGCAACTAGTGTTACAATCCATGATTAAAGATTAAGCTCTATTTATTATATACGATACCATCAGCACAGTCATAAGTAACACTCTTTTACTACTTACATACTTATTCTATTATTATTACACACAGACGCACGCACGCACGCACGCACGCACGCACGCACGCACGCACGCACGCACGCACGCACACGCCCATGCACACACACATGCATTCATGCATTCACACACACATTATATTTTACTTACCATAAACTTACTATCTTAAAATATTTCCAGAACCACACTGCATTTACAACTGGGTCACATTTCAGCCAGATATGTGCTGAAGGATTATTAGGCTGGCTTATTGATAATCAAACGTGAGTGAGGTGTACTGCACTTGACTAACGTTTTAACAGATGACACCCTTTTTGTCTTCACCGCTCAGACAAACCTCACCTTTGTGATAAAATCGATGAAACAGGAAAACTTGTTTTTGGCACATGTTATCGTGACTCTCCCTCCAAGCTCCACCCAGGGCACCGTCAGTATGGACCTGCAAGACAAACACTGCTTACAAACACAACCCCGTTTAAAAATCAAACCCTCCCAGCGAACACAACGAACAGACATTAAACTGACAACCCTGGACGGTGGCGGCACCGACATAAAGTAAGGTGGTATTGCAATTGAGCCCAATTGTTACAATTGAGTGTTGCAACAAGCCCAATTGTTGCAACTAAGTGTTGCAATCGAGTCCAATTGTTGCAATCGAGTGTTGCAATTCAGCGTTGCCACTGAGCGCACCTGCCGTATCCGTTTGGGAATGTGATGATGTACTCCTCGCCGTGGTCCAGCAACGCGAGACATCCCTGACCAATCATGTGCACGCCGATAGACAGCCCAAGAAACTTCGACTTAGTCCAGATGTGAGCGTTCAGCGAAATCCGCTTATTATAGTGTTCTGCATAGAAGGCTGAAACTGAGAACAAAGAAGGGCATGTTGATTACGTGCCTGTACCACAATCGTACTCCCATGGCCTGGGAGAAGGCACTGCATGCATTGTCAGCACAGTCTGTGGTCAACATCAAATACGGAAATCATTTTATCTACAACCTTTGACAATTTTATGATAAACCTTGGGTATTATTCCCATTAGCAACAGTTTATGGGTCTAATAGTCTCTGTCAAGCTGAATGAAGGTGCTCCACATAAGAAGCTTAAGCAATATAATTCACGTTGACATAGACAGCTAGAGCAGTCGTCGAAACTGTTGCTAACAGAGTTATCAAAAATAGATTTATCATAAACGACATTAACTCTTACATGTTCTCTACATTTGATAACTCCTCATTTTCATTTCAGCAGAAACATATAAACAAAATGACACATGAACACGTGAACTGCCGATGCCTGTCTCATGTTCACTGTGAACACCACGCAGGTGACTGCTTACTTACTGGGTGGGTGGTGTGACACTTGCTCAGCCAGAAACGTCACGTTGTCCTTGGTCACCCATGGAATGGGTCCATCGTCTACCAATTCCTACACACACACACAGAGACAAATGTACAATGTAATACACAGATTACAACAACACTATATGCTACAGAACACTAGAATACTGCTGGCAAAAATAATAATGCACACAAGAGGGCAACACCAACTACAGCGCCACCTATAACAGACCAACTACAGCGCCACCTATGACATACCATCCACAGCGCCAACTGTGGCTAACTGTGATTACTTGTAATAGTAGATGTGTGATGACAATTACCTGTGATAGGTGTGTGATGACAATTACCTGTGATAGTAGATGCATGATGACAATTACCTGTGATAGGTGTGTGATGACAATTACCTGTGATAGGTGTGTGATGACAATTACCTGTGATAGGTGTGTGATGACCATTACCTGTGATAGTACATGTGTGATGACAATTACCTGTAATAGTAAGAAATGTATGACGATAATTACCTGTAATAGCACCTGTGTAATGACAATTACCTGCATGTGTTCTCGCCGGCAGCTCGAAGTGACAACGAAACGTTTCACCGAGAATGGGGTTGTAGGGTTTCTTGGCGACGGCGCCTTTGCGACCGGCGTGGAACGCTGAGAGATAGTATCGTACGACGGCCGTGAATCTATCACGTGGCTCACTGTAATCAGGGATCCTACGCCGAGAAAGAGAACGCAGAGTGAGAGGCAATGTAAGGACGCGGTACAGGAGAGACGCAGGGTGAGAGGCAATGTAAGGACGCGGGTACAGGAGAGAACGCAGGGTGAGAGGCTAATGTGAGGATGTGGGCGTACAGGCAGAGTAACCGCAGGGTGAGAACGGATAATGATGTAAGATGTGGGTACAGGAGAGAACGCAGGCGGGTGAGAGTAATGTGGCAAGATGTGAGTCACGAGAGAGAACGCAGGTGAGACGGTAATGGTGAAGGATGTGGGTACAAGGAAGATGAACGCAGCGGACTGCACCCGGGTGAGCAGGTAATCGGTGAAGATGTGGCGTACAGGAGCAGAATGCAGGGTGAGAGGTAATGTGAAGATGTGGGTACAGGAGAGAACGCAGGGTGAGAGGTAATGTGAAGATGTGGGTACAGGAGAGAACGCAGGGTGAGAGGTAATGTGAAGATGTGGGTACAGGAGAGAACGCATATGCAAGAGGAAAAGAATACACTGTGAGAGCCAATTAATATCGTGGATATTAACATCACGTCACAAACTATGACAGAGGTATCCCTAAGATGAGAGACAATGCAAGAGCACAACGTTACCCAACAGTCACGCTCTCTCTCTCACCTTACTTACCAGCAGCCAAACGAGCCACCAGAAAATACGAAAACTCAGGTGCGTTCATCTGAATGTTGTTGGAACAACCTTTTAACTTTCGGAATACACGGGACAGATGAACAGCATTAGCAGGACGAGGCGTGCGGGAGAGCGTGTCTGGGCTTCCTGATCCCTAACGCTTACTTGGCGAACAAGTCCGGATGAGCAAAGAAGTCAGCGTACATCTCTAGCAGGGAGCGCTTTTCCAGGATGAAGGTCGGCAGCACGACCTTGGTCAGGTCCATCCCGATTCGAACCTTAAAGCAAGGATTTCACAAGTTTTTATCAACCGTTTTCATGTTTTCTCAACTGTGCTTATACTTACATGTACTCCTTGCATAACAACAAATGTATATGGTAAGGATAACATGTTAAAGAACACTCGAACATCATTATTTTCACCAATATGTGCACTGCTCTGCATTTGAAATTTGGTTACATATGTACTACCTGTGATAGTAGGTGTGTAATAATGGTTAATTGTGATATATAGTGGATGTGTAATAATGGTTAATTGTGACAGTAGGTGTGTAATAATGGTTAATTGTGATAGTAGGTGTGTAATAATGACTACCTGTGACAGTAGGTGTGTGATGATGCTACCATGTTGCTCTAATGACTCCAAGTCATCCTCAGCATCCTCATCATAGACGCTGTCTACGTTGACCTGGTCTATAGAAACAACCTCCCTCTCTGCTGCTGCATCCCTTGCTTCACTGGCTGGTGGCGCCATCTGTCCATCTCCATGCACCCACGTTCTACAAGAAACACAGAGTTGAGGAATGGCAGGAATTCACTAGTAGATGTACACTTGTCTACTGTACCCCACTTAGTGCTATACACACACTTCACGTGGTTATACACACAACATGGCAGGAAAAAGCAGTGCAATGTATATGGAAAAATAAAAGGATATTCTTGCCTATACAACTCCAGATTGGTGAAACCTTGCACGCCCAATGCTAGATGGAGTATAGCAGAAAGCTTATGTGAAAACCTGTGTAGCCAGAACTTTCGATCACTGCGAGACCCTATTCCATGCCCATGTCCTATTTTTACTACCAATGCAAATGTTACTAGTGAGCCTAGGCAAAAATTACTATGGTTACAATTGGCCGTTATCTGTTGAGTAGATTTCGGTCAAGTTATGGCAATTGTACACTGGTGTCAATTCCTACTAGCTATAACAGGGCCGCTTGCTACGCAACCGTTGCTGTGACAACTCGCTAGGCAACCGTTTCTAGGATATATAACAGGAAGCCGTGACGACTTACGACGGACTCTTGCATTGTTGCTGCTGCTGCTGTTGCTGTTCCTTTGCATCGTTGTCATCGGCATCGTAGAATTCATCGTCCTCGCTGCTGGAGTAGGACAGTGGTGGTACGTTGCTGGTCATACGCACCTGCTGCTCTACCGGTGCAGTGGTCAGCGTACTCGGCACAGACATACTGACTGCTACCTCACCTACAACGCAATAACAACAACATCATTATTATTAATGATGATGATAATAATAATAAATAAACTACATTCATTCTGAAGCCAGAAACACCATGTATTATTCTTGTTTAGACTGTATGTGCAGAACTGTGGTACTGCTTTAAATTACATAACATATCCGAGCATTTCCCTAGAACAGGTTTTCGAAAACAACAGTTCTCTATGTGTATAACATTGCATTTACAGTACTATGTAAACCTTCACCCTGAAGTGGCTCTAGGCTCTAAAATACATGCAAGTACATCCCTTTCTGTCTGCCAGGCTAAACCAGCCATCATACGTGCATGACGCAAGTTGGCGCACACAAATTACAGTTCTGAAGGTTAGTTCACAGCTGTAGGCTATTTTTCTACATGCGCACCATCTGTGTGTTTGTTCTTCATGGCAGACTATGCTGCGTACAGCATATGATCATGCTAGGTGGGGAGAGGGAGGCACGAAATGTGATTAGTTAATGGGTTAAAAAAATATCTACGCATGCACTCACGCATGCAAATACACACACACACACACAGATGAACTTACGCACACGCCCGCACACACGCACGCACGCACGCACGCACGCACGCACGCACGCACGCACGCACGCACACACACACACACACAGATTAACTTACACACTCACACATGCAATTATGCACAGACAGATGAACTTACGCACTCACACATAGACGCACACACAGAGTTGAGCTCTAAGGGGAATCTACGTCGGATGAGCGTGGATCGACGCTAGCACTCACCTGTCTGTTTGGTGGGCATCTGAGTGGAAGCATCTTCATAGTCCTCACACACCTCTGCAGCCTGCTCGACAACACCTACAGCAGAGCAGACGACACACAAGCATCATCTCATGTGTACTATCTACAAGCTGCGATAATCACTGGACGTGCAAGCGTTCATCAGACTAGCTGCTGCCTAGGCTGCAGTGAAACTCAGGTGAAAATTTTACAAGATCTGGAGTATATGTAAACTTTTCGTAACTACAGTTAATCAGTAGCTAATTAGTAACTCATTAGTAACTTATTAGTGCTAAATGATGATCGGCTGACATACAAGCAGTTGTCCGTGAGCAATTGATGTGTCACCTGCACATATACCTCTCAGACGATCACGCAAATAATACTAATGACATTACTGGTGAACATGCATCGTGGATGCTGTAGAAACGTTTCTCACGCATTCTTTGCAGCAAGCTGGAGGTGGTTACCTTTCCTGACTGTACCCACTGGTAGGTTAGTGCCGCCATCTGTCATAATTCCACCTGCATTTGCCTGGAAGACACCGTTTGTAGGAAACGCAATCAATCTATCAAGCAAGTAGCAAATATTTGGTCATACATCAACAAATAACAAGTTGAAGCTTGAACAGTAAGAATTTGCAAATAACAGGGACAATAAGATGACTTAATATTTGTTCTGTTCATCGCAGCAGTATTTAAATGTCGTTGTACAGTAGGTTTTAGTATGTGTACCCGTTTGAATAATCAGTTTAATGGTGAGGGCGCCACATGTTTGATTCCCGCGTTTCATAGCGTACCCTTTGTATGTAAAGCCTGTTTTGCTTCGCGCGTTCACTACTGTCGGTGTCACCGCTAATGTGTGTCCCATCGAGCGTCGGCATGCCAAAATGTAAGTTAATTTAGTTCTAACGTTCTACGGCAGTGTTATTATAACTTCAGAAAGCATGTGTCATATTCATAGTGTTGACGTAGATGCAGAATAGGTGTACGTTCAATCTGATAGCTAAATTACATTCAATTGGAGTTTATATTATATTCGCGCGAGTTTCTAAGAGAACAATGTTTACATAGGGTACAGCTGTATTATGTAGTAAGAACGTATTCTCTGTATTTTCATTTTTAGTTTTTCACTGAATAAACTACTGAAAACGAGACCTTCTGCCTTTCGTCTCTATCTGATGACAGTAAAATATTAATAGTCCATACATGCACAGGGACAGGCATGAACCCATGAAAAACAAGATCTGGATGTTGTTATCTACTATACTGTATATGCTGTATATTTCGCGGTGGTTTAATTTTCACGAATTTCGCGAACGGGTCCCCGACCGTGAAAATAACAACACGCGAATAATTCATACAGAATATTACAGAATAATTCATAATTCACCGACCGCGATATTCACCACTCGCGAAGTTGTCCGTCAAGTCTGAATTCGAGAAAATATCTGTACGCAAAAAATATTGCATATACAGTATTTTACACATATTTAGGATAATGTTTATCAAGAGCATTAGCAGTGATTACGATCAGTCATCAATGAGAAGTATTTGTTTTCAGTTCTCACCTTGCCGATCTGTAGCATCATGATAGAATGCTTTATAGTCTCCACCATAATCTGAAGCAAGATCAGAAACCAGGCGAAGTTACAGCTGCACAGGTACATTCTCTGGTTAGAAAACAAGCAAACATGACAAATAATAAATAACTATATAAAATGATATTAATGTATGTAATTATTATTAAATTCTTATGTAAGTTATGTAGATATGTTTAGTGTTCTCTGTATTTTAAACTAGATATTGACTGTCACTTTTCCAGGAGAAGAGTAGACATATCTTCTTAATTTCGACACTTGTAACCGGGTCTCACCTAGGCCGCATCCAATTTCAGCTAAAGTTAAACAGTACTCACACAGGACTGCTGACGCAGCCCCTCCAGCTGCGAGCGACTGGCCGCATCCTCATGCCCTAGTATCCTGTCCTCGAGCTTCTACACAGAGACAAGTCGAGCAAAACTGATGCGGTCTGCTCGTATTGCGACGTGCATCTGAATTCACGTCGAGCATTTGTCGCGCGAATAACAATGGCAACGCGAATGCAGTCATTACATGGGAAATAGTCGCAACAGAAAAGAAGCATCTAGAGCTATGAAGCTGCACAAATCTGTTGCAGTCAGAACTATGACAATCACAATATACTAGGAGTGTATCTGCCTGCATGAGAGTGATTGTCAGTGAATATATATAAAGGACTGTGCAAGGCTAAATTAGTAGAAATCATTGAAGAATTGGAAACAAAGAATGGGAGTTTGTATAAATACAGTGCATAACTGTAATTACCTCCGCCCAACGGAGTTGGAGGAGGTTATGTGATCGCTCTCGTGTGTTAGTGTGTTTGTGTATTAGTGTGTTCGTGTGTTAGTGTGTTCGTGGGTTCGCGCGATCGATATTAGCGCGTCAGCCAGTGAGCCAGCCATTTGACCGTTTTTTAGGCCCCATGGTTTTCTCAGACGGCAAAGCCTGTTTCCACCATGTGCGTACCTTGATCTGATTAATGAGGAGCAGCAGGTATGCATCGGCTTCAAGCATCTTCTTGTCAAAGTCGACCATCGATGAGGACAACGTTGAGGGAGCGCCCTAAAACCCCACAAAGTGTGAGCACTACATATAACTCTATGCACGTTTGATCTCATACACATAGCGATTTTAATATCCAACACTATCTACATATGGCCACCAGAAGACGCCTAAAACTGAACTTAACAATAACGCACACTAATGAATATCACACCCCTACATTAAAGCTCTACCTCCTGCAGTTAGACTGCAAGAAAAGGATTTGATACTCACCTGTTTATGCTGATACCACATTAGCATAAAGTGTTCTACAACTGGATCCAGAATAATATCAATTTTAAATCGAATCAACACCACTACCCACATTTACATTACATACGGGCATGCCTTTGGGGTGGTATGATGTGCACAGTCTATGAAGCCGAGTCTACAAACAGCACCTTGTACAATCAATATTTAAATAGTCAACATTCTAATGATGGGTTGATCATTCAACACAGACATTCTGTATACGGGTTTCTCTAGCATAGCTTACCTTCACGTATCTGGTAATATGCATGAGGGGGCCGCATCTTTCAACACTACACTAACCTTCAGGTATCTGGCACTCTGAGGATGGGTGTGACGTACGATTGTATCCTCTAATGTGCGAATCCACTTCTCTCGCTCGTCTCCATCCCGTGCTGCAAGTCATAATTAGCCTCAACATTCTGTATGACACGTCTATAACCTCGTGACCTCGTAAATATTAGTCTTCAAAGTCAAATGGACTATATCGTGTAAGTATATAGTGTATATAGGTTATCTACATGTATAGTATATATATCTGGAGTAAATAATCACAATTTGTGATTATTTTCTCCTGATATATATATATATATATATGCACACATACAGTCTATATGTAGCCTTATGTGGATGAAATAAACATGCCGTCTAATCTATCGAGCCTATAACTGTATAGAGAACATATTGCCTAGATATAACCCGCTATATACGCGCCATTTAGATGTAACCATCAACTCATTGTACACACACAACCCTACAGGTAAACTACTATAGCTCATTAGTTCGAGGAGCAAAGACTTACCTTGAAAATGAAACGTCTTATCATCACAGGTGAGTGTGAATGTTGAATCGTCTTCATCATCTATGCCAATCACTGCTCCCTATGTCACCACGATGCAACGCAATCAAATGTGATGCCACACATTTACTAGCTTCACCTTGTCGAGTCTTATATTCTGCTCACAGCATGAAAATTTAATGCCTCTTGTAATATGTTAATATGTACTTGCTGCTGCAAGTTTAAGAACTGATCAGCACACTTGACTTTTCGGGATTGTAAGGTCTGACATGACTATATGTAGGCTCTACATTCAAATAAACTATTATCCTGATATTTTCTTACCATCATTTTTCTATTGGTTATATACAATGCTGTATCACAGTGTCACATGATGTATGCTTCCTGAACTATTACTAAGTAAATACCCAGTAATATGTATAGAACTGTGTCTAGCTCTGTTGGAGCACATATAGCAAGAATCCAAAGTGTAATCTGCTGCCATTTTGGAGTACTTTAAACTAAGGTAGACACCTAGACAAGTAGTGCGAATCTCTAAGGAGATTGAGATACCTTTAAGCGCACACAGCCTCGTCTGGAACCTCTCATCATCTTTTCTTTCGACTGAAACACACACCGAAAATCAATTACCCTTCAAATTCCTGTAATAATTTCTATTCGTTTTTTTTTGGAGTAGTGTTAAAACATGCACACAACCTACTTAGTAAACCGAGGCCCTTGTCAACCTCTAACGAACATAATTTCCTACAGAAGGGGCAGGGGCAAAGTAGTAGCTGTAATTTGACCTCTTGGTGACCTCTTTGTGATGACCTGTGATGTTATCAAATTGACCTCACCATGTAAAAATGTATGTAAATCAAATTTTATATACCTTATAATATATGTGCTCTAATTTTAGATTTAGTTAAAG